TGGTCTGACGAATCACGTTATCAACTGTTCCATGCTGATGGGAGGCACCGTGTGTGGCTCACACCGCATGAAGCGATGGATCCAGCATGCCAAGTGGGCACAGTCCAGGCCGGTGGCCTATCAGTCATGGTGTGGGGTGCATTTTCGTGGCATAGAATGGGCCCCCTGGTCGTTCTGGATGCCACATTGACTGGTCAGCGGTATCCTCAGCTGCTTGGAGACCATCCCCACCCTTTTGTCATGTTTCAACACCCTGATGACATTGCTGTGTTTCAAGATGACAACGCAGCTCCACATCGCGCCAATATCGTCCGTGCTTGGTTCGACGAGCATGCATGTGAGTTCCAATGACTGAATTGGCCACCTCGAAGTCCTGATATGAACCCCATTGAACATATCTGGGATGCCCCCGACGTCAGGCTCAGGGCATTGAATCCTTAACCCACGAACAGGCCACAATTGGCTGCTGCTCGTCAGGATGTGTGGTGCCAACTACCTCCGGACGTGTTCCAGAGCCTTGCAAACTCACGTCCATGCCGTATCGCTGCACCCCGCAGGGCCAGAGGGGCCCGACCAGAGATTAGGTGGGTATCCCATGAGTTTTGCTCAGTCAGTGTACGTCTAAAATTACTTTTATAATGAACGCGACTATAATTTTATACATACATTTAGCTTTATTTAGTTGAAAATGTATGTAGCGTGATAGTGTAACAACAGATAATGTTTTGCCCTATTTTCACTTTCGATGCAGATTTCTTTTATGGCTAAGATTTATGAAATAAACAGTAGATTCTAGTTTACAAGATAAAGGATTGCTATTTAAGAATTTCAAAAGGTGATTTTCTATTTAATGAATTTTCCGTATAACGAATTTATCAGGATTCAGCGACTTCGCTAAATAGAGGTCTGACTGTATGTATATAGCTTACACAAGAGCACAGTAATTGTTGTCTTTCCTCTTAATATATTGTATATAATATGTACAGGGAAATTTTTTTCCCCGATTTGACTGGCAACCCTATTAAGACTGCTTTTTTTCTTCTTTGAAATGTTGTCCTATTGATGAAGATTATTTTAATATTATGAACGTCACAATTTTTTTTTGTTATAATTTTAATTGTTATTAATCAAAAAATTTTTAATTGTTATAAATCAGGTAGTTAAATTACTTAGATGAAATATTTATTTGGTTTTAATTCAAAAACTAATAATTTAGTTTAAAAAAGCATTTTCCTCACTAGCTAACATACCTAACTTTTCTTCTTAATTTGCAGCGATCGATATTGGATAAAGTTCTTTTTGCCAGAAGTTGAAATTTTGCTCTTTTTTTTCTTCATTTTTATTATCAATATTCTTTTATAAAAATTATAGGCAAAAGTATTTTGTTATTAATAGTTAACTCTTGTTAGATTTTTTAATTGTGTAGTTGTAATGTTTTAATCCAAAAGTAACTAATAGGAA